CCTCCCCTCGCGCCACTCACAGCACACACACACACACACACACACACGTCATACACACGTCAGACACACGTCAAACACACCAGGCCTTGCCGCCAACTAAGCGTCGACGCGCAGACGGCGGCGGCGGCGACGGCGACGGCGGCGGTGGCGGAGGAGGAGACGGCAGAAGAGCCGATGTCAAGGAGACCGAGACGGTGCATCACGCGGTGAGTTCAAAGTGCATAAACACACTTCATTTTTATGAGATCTATTCACCCTATTCGGTTGAGGTGATCAAGTCGCCTTTGCCCACAATTCTGTGAGTAGGGCTGACGCTTTGCTGGCATTTCGCCTCGCCTCGCCTCGCCTCGCCTCGTTTCGCCGAAATGTCTTCTCATCCCGACTCGACTCGACTGCACTTTCCACCTCGTCCGCGTCTCATCCAGGCCGCAAACGGGACTCGAACCAGGCCACTTCAGCGTGTCATCTCGACACGTCGACTACTGCGCCACGTTGCCACGAGGGCCGATGTCGACTGCAAAGAAATCCGGCCATTTGTCCACATCGCCCAGTATTGTGGAGTAGTCGATGGAGCAAAGTAATGTATACATTGCTATGACAACTGACTACATTAGTTGGTTTTTGTTTAAAAGTAGAGTCTCGAGACTGCCGGCAACCCATTTGCATCGAATGTATTCAACCGATGTCGTTTGAGGTGATGCAATCGTGCTTATAAACGAAAAATACGTAAAAGTGCGTGAAATCGGTCAAGCACAAGATCCGGATTGGAGGCTCGGAGGAGTCGGATAAGCCGATAGAAAGAGAGTGGTCGGGGTGGATAGCAAGTGTGATGGGGCCACACTAGAATTGGCACAAAACGGCACACATTTTTGATGACTGCAATGTGATCAAGTGAAAAGTTGTGCTTCAGCGGCAATGGGATAAGAGGGAATAGCGTAGATAGATAGACCGGGACAGAAAGAGGAGTGATAGTGTAACCGTGACCGGCAGAACGGTTGTCGAGGGATTGACTTCACTTGTCTCTTTGACGAGTTCGCAGCTTGGTGCTAAAGGGGGGCAACACTCACTGATGATGCCGGCGAAACCTTTGAGAATGTAACAAGTCCACTGTCAGATGCTGGGGATCATGACAACTATTTGGCAGATACGAAGAAAAACTTGGTTGCGATGACTCTCCTGAGATAGCATTGTTAGGGGGACCTTCATTTCGAATGAAAGTACATGAAGAAGAGATTCGTTTTTCGATCTCACCACATGAGGACGGATGAAACTCGTTGTAATGCAGCCTTTTAGCTTTTATATGATATTCATGTTGACGCAGTCCACGAGTATTCCTCCCTTGTTTTGGGTGAAAACGTGCTGAGCTTTCGTCCATCATATCATGGACAGCATCAGAGCTGGGTTTCATTCTTGTAAGAGTCTCACATTAATACTAAACCAAAAACGGCTAAACGGCTGCAGTACAACGAATCTCTTCTTCATGTACTTTCATTCGAAATGAAGGTCCCCCTAACAACTATTTGGCAGAGAACTTCTGACTAGATGCGTTCTACTAAGTCGCCCTGACAACAAGACCAAGTTGCGAGAACGAGGTGAACCCACTTGTATAAATCGAAAGGAGACTGCGACCGTACCAGAGGCCACAACATCTTGGTCTTCATATCTTTGAAAAATACCTAATTTACAAGTTGTTTGACGTTGTTTTGGCAACTTAAACAAAATAGGAGGAAGTCCTAATGGAAACCATCTTGTCCGGAGTCCATAGTATGCATCAAAATTAACAGAAACGAACCGTGAACTTGGTACATTCCCACAAGTGCCTTCCTTTAGGTCTTCCTCCTATTTTGTCCAAGTGGCGAAAACAAGATCAAACAACGTCTCTATTACTTATTTTTCGTTTATAAGCGCAATTGCATCAGCCTAAACGACCTAGAGTGAATACATTTCATGAATTTTAGGTGCCGCTAGTAACACTTTTTTTGTTTCCCAACCTTTAAGAGGTTGTCTCTTCTCCAAGCTAATCAATTGCCATCACTTTTTTGTAGAAGCAAAGACTAATTGGATTGTGACCATTCTCCTAAGATAGCTTTGTTAGGGAAACTTTAATTTCGAATGAAATTAATTGATAAACATATTCAAAGATCGATCTGACAAGAAGACAACGGCCGGATATATAGTTCACCCCAACATTTGGGTTTGTTAATCACTCTCATTTGGGGCCGGTATTGCGTAGAGACGTTAGTATACACACAGACATACTCAAGCAAATGTTACATGACCAATATGAGAGGGAATTAGCCAAACAATTTTTCATTTATCTATGAGTATATAATTTTATAATTGTTGAGCTTACTTCCATTTTGAGTAGAATGGAAGTCAAGCTTGACCAGCTGTCGATTGGCTTTAGTGGAAGATTAGACGCTGTTTCCGAGGCAATCTCCTTCGATTCCGGTGAAAAGGTGCTAAGCTTTCGTCCGTCATATGACGCACATCATCACCGGAATCGAAGGAGATTGCCTCGGAAACAGCGTCAGCATGAATCTTACAGTAAAGCCTCCGTCGTCTTCTGGTGGAGGCGACCTTCGAATCTCTTCATCCAACACTTTCACTCGAAATGGAAGAAACATGAAACATGGGATTCCTCGAAACCCAACTTTTCCTCGTATATATAGTTTTATTTTTATTTTGAGTCTATATTCGATTTAAAATAGTACCAGACAGTATTCTTGTCCTAGTGTTAACGTGATACTTTTGCAATAATGAGCTCCAGCTCTGATGATGTCCACTATCTGATGGACGAAAGCTCAGCCCATTTTCGCCCTAAACGAGGGAGGATGTCTTGTGAAAAGCGTCAACTGGAACGCCAAACGACTGCAGAGAAATGCGAATCAGAAGCCATCTTCCGGTGAGATCGCATTAGCAATGTCTTCTTCATGCACTTACATACGAACTGAAAATGGAAATAATTTTGATAATGAGGCACACTTGGATCCGTCACTATAAGCGTCAAAGTTAAACCTATTTCGAGATTATCCCACTCTAATTTAATAATTGCTAATACCCTCAAAAACTGATCTCTTCACCAATAGGTACCGCTTTCGCT